CTGTGACTATGAAAAGAAAAATTATTCCTGTCACATATGTATAACATCGAACTCCCAAACCAAAATTCATGGTAGCAAATGCATTGAGATAAATAGAAGTCGATACGGATCTGGTATTACTAAACTTTTTAAATGTGTAATCTGTCAGGTAATTAGTACGTTTGATAAATTGTGGAACCATCAAATGAAATTATCGTGGGATAAGGTTGTTTGAAAGTATCTAGATGAATTTTATAGAGAGGATTTTATCTTGAAGTTAGTGGTTAAACTAGATAAATGGCGAGCAAGATTATGGTGTAACACGATTGCACATAGTTCTATGTAATTAAATATTATGAGTAAAATTTTTGTATGTCTTTGAAACTTAATATATGAAGTTTGGTATGATATTCTTGGTCAACTAAAAAGTGGTCTTGTTTAATTTTTCAAAGATCACTATTGCCTAAGCTATTCTAGAGTAGGGATAACGAGACACGAATTCTAATGTAAAATTCAGCATTAGCAATGCAACCAGCCGCTAGAAATGTAATCAAATAAGAAAAAGATGCATAGAAATAGTTTCATTGGAAACAGGTTTCTTGTGTATGATGTAACCAATTCTTTAATGCCCCACAATTAAACCGCTAAGATATGTAGATAGAATGCTAGTAAAATAGTTGAACGATATATAATATTTACTGTGTTAAAAGATGCGAGGGAAACGGATTATTCAAATGTGACGATTAATGAATGATCGAACGAAATTTCTCCCATTTTAATATAAAAATCATAAATGCATCAACGTGCACTCGATTAAAGTATAATTGGTGATTAAAAATCAACCTTGATCATATACCGAACGAAGAATTTCATATGTCGTAAAAATTACACGCAAGAAAAGTGGACATAATATAAGAGATTCGACAAACGGAAAACTTCGTAGATTACAAATTATACAATTCATTGGCAGAAATAAAAAATTTCATTTACCAACAATAACAAGACGACTTTACACGTATGTATTGAACGTGTGAAACAGGTTTGTCGAAGATTAAAATGATATTATCATAATACCTTCTTAATAAAACAAATCTGACAACTCTCACGATAGCCAAAACATACCAGGCTTCGTAAATAGTAAATTACGGTTCTGGTCATAAGTCAAGTCGATCGACGTGGAAAGGCGCGCATAATTTTCAGATTCGAGCTCTGTCACGGTTGGCAATACCAAGTATACGTCAAGTTCGTTCGGTAATTTAAAAGCACAATGCGTAACGTGGCTGTTTGGAGGTTCCATAACGACGAAAGTTAATTGACCGGACGCCATTGACCAGGTAAATTAGAAAAATCATTAACATAGTAAAAGCGTGCCGTCTGTTGGCCTCATTTGAATGATTAATTAGTTCTAACATGGCTCGGCCTCCGACACCACAAAAACTCGTTTCCATTCCTTACGATTCTTATTTATTTCTATTCCTTACGGGGATCTCTTTTTCTCTTTATGCAGACTCAGTAGCTAGGAAATTACTTACGTTTAAAATTCGTTAATGTTTCTCGCGTTTCTCTCGTGATTATTTGTTGGAATTAAAAAAGAATCTGATAAGTCAAAAGCAGTGGAAAATTGTAAAAGTATCTTGCAGTTGTAAAGTTCGACTGTAAATCTTTCGGTTTGTAAATATTATCAGAGTCTCGATATATTATTCTTTATCCAAAGAGGAACAGATTACACCAAATAATGTCTGATGAACACTGCAAGCAGACGACAACAGATGTCAGATTACACGGTGCAACGTGAACTTGTAATTTAGAATGATTTCCCAAGTAGTTATCCACGACCTGCAGTTATAGTCACCAAATGTTTAAGCAAACGAAAAATTCTAACTTGAAATGAACTGCGGAATATTTTCTTTTTCAAGCCAAATATAAATTTTTTATTCTTCTCCCGTTCCTCATAATTAACTGCTCTCGCGATAATATTTTTTGAACTAATATATTTTTTACAATTGCTTTTTTTATTCTTCAAATATATTTTAATGTTCTTGAATTTCCTCAATCAACGAACAAAGTTTTTAATTTTGAATTTCTTGCAGCTCGAAGTTCCGAGAAAAATTCATTTCGTTCGTATACCTCGGAGCAACGTTAAACTGCTAAACTGGAGCACGTCGAGGAGTGACGAAGGAGCCAAGGTAAGCTGCAAGTAATTGTATAACCGGCTTCCGAGAAACGGAACGCGTATGTTGTGTCGTCGGTTGTACGTATTTGTCGTTGCTCTCGCCAACCGACTCGATATTCCAACGGTGACGAGCAGTTTTTACCAGAATGTGGGCGGGGGAGTGATAATTTTAGGTTTAACAAATTGAAATTATGAATTTGGCACGTTGAGACGGAAATATCATACAGATGATAAAACAATAAATTATTTCAACAAGAATACTTTAAGCAAACAAATTGAATACGAAAAAGCAAGAAATTACTAGAAAATATATCGTGTCGAAAGAAATGTCAACTTTAGTATATTATCATTTGTATATATTACTCTAACGTCTAAGAAAATTCTAAGGTACTTTTAGCGACTTTTGTCAGGAAGATTCATCGTACAAGCTCGATTGTAAAGTATAAAGATTGTAAAGTAAAAGAACCACATCGAAATCTCGCACGTAGGTAGGAGAAAAGAAGTCACGTTAAAGTGAACACGCGTCAGGATAAACCTTTCTAAATTCGACGACACAATGTCGGATACGTCGTTGGAAACAAAGGGACAATGGCGGCGGGGAGTGAAATAGAAGGGAAGGAAAAACTGGCCAAATAAGCCGTCACAGGGCAAGTAACGAGGCATATAATAACCCACGGTGACACTCGAACAAACAGCCATCTGTAGGTAATACCCCTGTGGTGTGTAACGCCCCGAAAACTGCGCCCTGCCAAAAAATTACAATGACAATGAACGAAATCCGATCCGCCTGCGGGCACATCCACTCTAGTTTTATTTCTCCTTCGCACCTCTGACACGTTGCCGAAACGTATTTAGTTATACGGTACAGTATATTGTGACCGGTACACCTTTCCCGGCATTGTGTTGTCTGTTCAGAAAAATCAAGAATCGTCGAGGGTTGTCGTTGTGTTTTGTTATCGAACTTACGACAAGCGCGATAGGCTAAATCTTCTTTCGAAACTTTGATAACTGTAAAACGATTAATGATTCACAGTTAGCCAATGATCAGTGGTGACTCAATAATTCTTCGTTATCGATATATAAGTTCCTCCACTCTTTTGTTTAATTATGAGACAAATTTGAGTATACAATCGGCAATTTACGATAGAAATTCTTTGATCTCCATTCGGAAAAAAGCATAGCTGAGAGTAAAATCTGAGTATCGACTGAGGATTGACAAAGTACGCGCGTCACACTTTCGCAACACGTTCACCTGGCTGCGGTACGTTCTTCTCACATCGACACACGCGATCATCATCGATCGAAACGCACGATTTCTTATAACAGAGACATCGTCATGATCCACGACACATTCTCCCTTCCCATCATTGTCGGATAACTGGCTCAGCGTTACGTAATAGCGCATATTGGGCAGTTTCTGCCACCTCGATATCCCTATTCTACTCATGCAATAATTTAAATTTTAATGAGAATTTTATCGTGTCTGAGTGTGTTAAACGAAACTATGCTGCAATCTGTATAAATTGGTTATCTATATGTTTACAGTTCCAAGAATCCGTAGCAAGATTGACGTGAAAGCGCGACCCACTATCGGCTAGGCGAATTCCAAAGATAAACCTTTAATTAGATCGATGGCGTATAGATTTTTATCTAGTTCGAAGCCATCTAGCCTGTTTTGACGCCGATTTGAAAATAAGAAATCAATTTTTCGAAGTGCTGAGTTATAATTTTCGGGTGGAAATTGGATTTATTTGTTTGGGAATCAACGAATTACTTTATGTAGCTTTCATCGCGGTTATCTTAATTGATAGAATGGCAATATTCGATCAAAAAACCAGTTGATCTTTGGTGGAACGTAACTGTTTATTTTTGCCTTATTGTCGCGTAACGAGGAATCTCGGCATACAAGAATGGTGTAATGGTCGAGGAAAGATTAGATGTGGCATGATTGTGGTTTTCAGTACACAGTACCTACTCTAATGTCGAGAGAAATCCAGGTAATCCATCGATGTTTCTTTCGAACTAAACCTCAGTCATTTCTATGCAATATTTTCCAACATATTTTGTAACATTTTGTACGCAATTGATAATCTTTATTTTTTGTTTAAACTATAATCAAATTATCAAATGTCCAACGCTATCTCATGGAAGGTGAAGCGGATTTACATTGATATGATTCTCAGCCCTCCATATACCACGAGAAATCGATGGACGATCGACGATCGCAATGACGTCCGGTCGCGGTTCATTTTCCTTGCAATTACGACCATTAGTGGCGTATTAATGGCGAAGGAAGATGGAGGCCATCCGCCTTTTTATCTTCTCGGCGTAGTTTGAAATTCAGACTCCGTTCACAGAGGAGCAGTCGATACGACACTCTGGGAGATAAATTCTAATTAAAAGCGACAAGTTACCGGCATGGCTACTTTATATTTCCGGTTGCGCGGCCGACACGTTTTCCACGCCGAGATAATGTCCATTACTTTTTTTTCCATTTATCCCTACCTGAAACGTCGCTTTTTACGCCGTTGAATCGCGTAAATTCGTCGGTTCGTTAGAGATTCGATGTTTGTGGTGTTAAAACAGCTTATATGGCTTTGGAAATTAAGAAAACATCTTCAGCGATATAACACGTTGATAAGGTAGCAAATTTGAGTGGCGCATTTGATAATGCGCATCAAACCCGTAAGGGACTGGTAGGACGAAAAGGAGATAAGATAAGGTGGAGTAAAATTATCGCGATAAAATGAAATAAACGTTTTTACTTTGAAATGGAATACTTTAACACGATCTTATGGCAATTTATATTGATAATGTAGCAGGTAGCAGAAAGCAAGATATTACTTACTTTTTAGGAGAGGCAGGTCGTTCATGAACCCTCCATCGTCTACATTTGTGTTCTGAAGCAAAAATAATATAAAAGATTAAAATAAACACATTCATAAGAAAGCAATATTCGAATATATTTTGAATTGAAAGAGAAAGATCGTAGAAATTAATTCTTTAAGTCTCTGTCTTTTAAATTTGCTGGATGATGTTAGTAATTAAGATTGAAATTTTTCATAAATATTATAAGTATTTCAATAGAGAAAATGTGTTGTGATTACGTACATCGTCGCTCACCTGGGGGTCGTCTACGAGGCTGCTGTGGAGAACGAGGTCGGTTTGGTCGAGACCTGGGGGTGGTAGAAGGGCGTCAGGACGGCGAACAGCGCCATATTCGACGCCCCTTCCACCGC